TGGGACTGAGTCTTGTGATGCCCAGGTAGTTCTTCCAGTCTTTCTTAGAGCAGGCCACCATTCTAGAACTGCTCATCAATTCACAAAATATTGAACACTTGACATACATATTTTGTGAATTGCTCATCAATTCACAAAATATTGAACGCTTAAAATACATCTTTTAGTGCATATGTTCTTTTTGCCTCTTTATGAGTTGTTATATTTTCATCGTAGTCATCATCGGTTCTTTTCTTATGAAGGCCAATTAAATAAATTAAAGGCGAAGGACAGAAGAGTGGGATAGTGGCAGCAGTTAGCAGAGCAGAGTGGTTAATAAACATTAAATTCTTTATGGCAAAACTACAAAATGGTGAGGTAGCAACAAGGCTTGTGGTACACAAAAACACAGTGACTGTGCTTTACAGTGTAACAAGGCATTACTGTGTTATTACAGAACTTGGGCAACTGTTTGGTCCCCAGACCAAAACACGCCTGGGTATCCACAGGAGCAGCTTCTGGGCACAGATCCATGGGAACTTTGTGTTCTGATTTTAGGTTTTTCTGGGGTCATCTAGTACTCGTGAGTAAGCCTTACAAAATTTAGTCGCTGGAAATCTGTCAAAATAGAGTGAAAATCTCAGGCTTTCACTAGCAGGGACAAATCTTACAGCAATCCCTTTCTAATTAGTAAATGAAAAATCTTCTTTGGTACCCTTTAAATTTTCCTCTTGTGTTTCTACTGACAGGATTTAGTTCATTTCATAATCATCAATGCTGGCAAATCAGGTCCCCAAAACCACTAGGAACTTAAAGATACACTTATGTTAAAAAGAAGAAAAGTGGGAAATTCTATTCTGCTGAACTAATCTGAGTAATAAGAAGTATCCTACTATTAAAAAAAATACAATATTTTCACTAGATCTCTGGTGGTCAACCCATAAAGATAAAACTGACATATTTATTTGTACAAAGCTGATCCTACTCTTTCATATGTTTATAAAGTTAGATGTAATAAAAAGGGCCCAGGTATAAAACTGACATATTTATTTTACAAATAATATGTCAGTAGGATCAGCTTTCATATAAACATATGAAAGCTGATCCTACTCTTTCATATGTTTATAAAGTTAGATGTAATAAAAAGGGCCCAGGTCATTATGCATTCATATTGGAAAAAGAGTTTTACATTGAAATGAGGAAGAAAACCTGCAAGACACAGAGAAGAGTTCAGTAAGGTGACAATTGTGTCCTTCAACTGGAACATTTCTAAGGAATGACAGCAAACACCTTGGGCCCTACGTATCTATAGTGCTGAAAAGATCAAATTGAACATCAAATGTACTATAACACTGTCTCTTTCCTGTGACTGTAATTGGTATTTTTGCAATTATGAAAACTCCTGATATCATTCTTATTTTGTAAATAATACATAGCCACAAAATCAATACTTTTCATTTTTGATTTGTGTCAGTCACAACTCTAAGAGTTCTGCTTCTCTCCAAGTTGATTCAACAGGTGCTCGAAGATTGGAGACATTTTAATTCCAACAAGTTTCAAGGATGTCTGCATTTAAATAATTTTCCTAACAAATAGTTGCTGGGAAATGAGCATCCATCAAAAGCAGAACAATAATCTGCTTGCCCTTTGATATGTGGACCATAAATTTAGCTCCTTGTATTTGAAAGAATGCCATCAGAGTAAACAATTATTTACTTGTTTATAAGTAATGGCTTGAAGTGTATTATTGGATACAGAAGCGAAAAGGAAAGAAGATATGAAAGGAAAGTTGTTAATACCTTTTATTCACTGTTTTTCTGTTTCACTATCTCGATGTTATACCTCTTTTCCTTTGGTTGTTGACCTTGTAAACATATTTTGCAAATACTTATTCTTTATGGTAGATTCTGTTTATATCTTACAGACTGTCACATGCTTTTATAAGCCAGCACTTCAGACAAAATACAAACATCTCTGAGCTTTTTAAAGAATTATTTAATAAGAGTAGGCAGAGCCTTCATAGCTACATTGAGATGTTGTTTTCCAGTCAGACAATACTCTTTGTTCTTAATATGTTCTACTATTTGCCTATGAGCAGTCATTCTGCCATAGAAGGAAAGAGACCAAAAGGTCACCTCAAATTTGCCTTAATCTATGACTCAAGTACTGAGGGAATCAGAATACAAGTGTGTATGAGACCACTCTCCCGCTGAATGAACTGTTACTCTGGGTACTGATTATTTCTCTTGAGAAGAAAATAAACCCTGAAAAGAGTGATATTGAAATCATGTTTTCCTATTAGGATCTGCAACAAAGTGAATGCACTTTCACTCAAAGATATATCAAAGCTGTCACAAGGTCTAAGGTGTCAGTATCGATTCCTGCATGAAGTTATGGTTTTACTGAAATCAACAGAAAAAACCCCATTGGTCTCAATGAGGCCAAGATTTCATTGCTTATCTTTCCTTATTAATAGCAAGAGTAAATTTCAGACAGTCTCATTAAAATAACATGATATTATATTACATAGAAGGGTTCTTTTACCACTCATAATAAATAAAGGAAATCGAGGAGCGACAGAAAAGGCAGAAGTAATATGAATGTGAACAGGAATAGGAGCTGAGATTGCAAATATTAAGAGGTTATTAGTCCTTTTCGCCCTTAGAGATATTAATGATCCCTGGCTTTAGTCCTCAAAGAACCCATTTTCTATCCTTGCATTCTTTTCGAGAATTAAGTTTGAATTTCCATGGGAAATATAAAAGGGATCAAGACTTATATCTATATAACAAGTTATAAGGCCTTCATTCACCAACAACAGTTTCCTCTTTTGCTCTCAGATATTCACACAACATCTGAATGCCTTGAAAATGTTAATGAATTTATGCTATAACCTCCTGGAGAATTAGAGGAGAAATATTATCTCTATTCTACAGCTGGAGAATGGAGACAGAGAGACTTTGTGATGTGCCTGACGTCTCTCATTGGATTTTTCAAATTCTGTATTTAAACCACAACACTTTCTTAGCTTCTGATTATCTTTGCTTTGGGGATTCTAGCTTATTTAAATTCTGTTCTCTTGAACACTTTTCTCTAGGCCAAATCCATGCAAAACTGATTCTCAACCTCAACAAATATCTGGAAACCCCTTGTCCAGAAGTAAGCCAGAGTTTTTCCTGACTGCTGTAACTTGTGAGGCAACAAAAAGTGAGCCAAAACCAGACTCTGAAGGATCTCGAAATTTCTTTGAAAATAAAATAATAAATGCATACAGACTCAGACGTAACAGATTTCCTCATCTCAATTTTGCCTGCGATAGAGTTACTTGTAGTTCTTCAAACAGGAGTTCGAAGAGTATTGCTTGCACCATTGAAGTTATTGGTATTTTGCCCCTTTGTGTTTTTGTTTTGTTTTTTTTTAAGCTCTCTCCTTAATTAACTATGAGGGGGTTTTGGACTACTTTTATGTATAGCTTTCATTTTATGAGGGCTGGATTGCATTGTCATGATGCAAAAACTTTGCAATTAATCTACACACCTCATAAATCTGTCTTGATTTAAAAACCTAAGAATGCAAATGGATGTTTTGTCTGCATTCTGTTTTGTAAGGAACAGCCCCTGCATTGCTGCTGCAATGAGTAAACTCCATTTTGGGGTACCCCATGCTGCTGTGGTGAGACCGCTTCCAGCTCCCAGCTCTTTTACTAAGGGTTATCTAAGTGAGCTATACTTACATATACTTACACATAACTATCATTTAGTAAATGTTTTATTTATTTTCTAATTAACTGTATCAAGCTACTTTTTTTTTTTTTGTTTGTTTTTTTTTAACTAGAGATTTAATCTTTCTCTTGAATCTACTTTGCACAAACCTAGAATTCAGTTATGCCTTTGTGTAGGTGCTTATACCAAGCTAGCTTATTCTATATGGTAGAATAAGGTAGTTAAAAATAAAGGTAGTTTATTCTATGACAGAACACCCTTATGAGTTTTGAGACCTCTATAATACAGAAAGCTGCATCCTAAAAGAACCAGCACACCTTCTCCCTGAATACATTGAAAACCTGGATGCTCAATAAGTGTTCCCCAGGCCTGACCAGGTGACAGATAAAGTAAAATGAAGTGAGAGGTTATTGTAAAGTTTCTTCATTCAGGAAGGATCAATACACACTGCTGAGGACTCCTTTCCACCACTCTTGGCTTGGAGAGCTATAGAGTGGAAACTGGATTCTGCCTTAGGGAAGAAGACCGAGGAAAAAAGACATAGAGCAGAAGCCTTTTCCCATAAAATCACCACTTTAAAAAATATCTAGCTTTGATTTTCTTTTTACTTATACCCATTTCACATTATGGATGTACTATTGACTTACTGAATCTGTTACCGTTTTCCATAGGAATAAGGAAAGTTAGAGCTGGGTTGATTATATTTTAGCATGAAACAGTCTGTCAGTGATAAGACTGAAGGACACAGTGAACTTATTCTGTGTTTTTCCTGGTTTGTTCAATATAAAGAATCTTGAACATCTAGAAATTGGAAAATTCTGGACATCACCAGAGTTGACTCATTCAATGCAATGTCTGCCTTTCAGCAACCTGAACTGTCTTCAAAATAGGCCCTGCTTTGAGAAGGTGTTTGGATAAAAAATTTTCCAGATGTTCCTTCTAAACTGAATTGTTTGTTGATTTTGTGTTCCTGGAAAGCTACTGTAATGCTATAACTATATAGAGCCATGTTTGTGGCATTACACATGCCCATGTTACCCAGTGCTTCCAATTCCAGAGCTAAGGTGCAGCATCAGTTTCCAGGTCAGGCTCTGCACTAGACTTGCTCTCCACCTGAGTTAATGCACCCTGAACAACATGGTACAAACACTGTCACCTTCTTTTGCTTCCAGCAGCATCTTTCACTCTAACATCAAATCCTTGAAATCTAATACAAAGCATGGAATCATAGAATCCTGAAGGGACCCACAAGGATCACAAGTCTAACTCCTGTTAATAAATTAATAAACCAAAGCTCACCTGTAGTAACTAAGTCTGGAGGTCATTGGTTCTCTACATCTTGTTTTCTTCTGGACTCCTTGTTCTGGGAAGGACATGAAGTCTGCCCATCCTTCATGAAGCCAAGTAAAGTTCTGGACAGATAATTAGTTCAGACAGGTTATGATATGAAAGCCATAACACTCATACCAGACCCAAGACAGCTGAAGAAGCAGAACCGCTATGTTTTCATGGTGCTGAATCAGCCAATGTCCATGGTACAGTTAATCTGCCCAAGGAGACATTTTGTACATTACAAAGAAGCAGAGGTTTCCTGTGCATGCTGTTCACTGACATTTGCAAGATTTGCAACTCCACTTGTAGTCACTGAATGAAAATGAAGTAATTTGGTTTAATAATGCAGATGTCAAAATATTAAACATTCAGGACAATTATACTGGGAAACTGTCATCATCAATTTTATTTTTTTTTCTTATTTTGGAATTGTTTGAATGGCATATTTCCCATTGTGGTGAAAGATGATAAACAGAGGAAGTGAGCTGAAGCTAAATCACTCATAAATCCATCTTTCAGTAAGGTGACATGTCATTAATTCAAGTACTGGAGCAAGTATGATCATTAAATATTATGACATACTTCATCCAATTCCTAAAAAAAATAATTTTCTTAATGTTGTTTTTGTAAAGGAAATTAGTATCAGTCAATTAAACATGGGCATGCACAATTCTAATTATGTATTTTACCAATATCATAAAAAGAGTATGTTTGGTGCCTTATCTAATATGCATTCAAAGTGTGTCAGAAATATTTGGATTCACTTTTATAATAACCCATTTTCCAACATAAGAATAACCCATGGCCTATTTCTGTCATATATGACTCAGGGGACTTATTGTCCTAAAAGAGATGAAGAAGCCTGCGTGATACAGGGTGAAAGGTGGGCAGGTGAGCCAGAGGAAGAAAATGACATTCCACTGAGGGCTGGACCTGGCTGCAAGGTTTTCCTCTTTGCCAGAGGAAGCAAATGACATGTTCCACTGAGGGCTGGCCTTTAGATTCTCCTGCAAGGCAGTGAGAGCATCATGACGATATTGCTTGGGAATTGACACTAATCTGAAATTATTTTGATGTGATGTTAATGAAAATAGAGCAATTCAAGCTATCATTTCTTTAATCACATACAGAATCCTGTCAGGTTCTTGAACTTGGTGGAGGGTAGAATTAGGGAGCAAATAATTGAAAATGTAAGAGGAAAGAGATAATGCTACAGAATTCTTTACATAAGATATAGTGTCCTTTTCCAGAAGTAATGTTAGTGTCATATTTCTATGATCAATTTTTAAGATGTTGATAAGTTCTAATAATGTTATTACTAAACCTGAAGAGAAGACCTGTTTTTCTTTGACCTGTAGATAGCTCAGATATTTCTAATGAGTAATATGTTTTGTTGCATTATTATTACTTGAGAAGTGTGTGAACATATCTATTTATTCATTTATCTACATGGTCAGCTTATTAGCTGCTCTACATAATTTCTCCCTTACTGTTTGAGAAATCATGGCGGCTGTCCTAAATCAAATAAATTAAGTGAGCAATTGTGAGGATTTATGGGATCTATCTTGATGAAAAAAAAATGAACTTTTTCTGTAACCATTGAAATAAGCCCCATATTAGAGTTTTGGTATATTACACTGCCTAGGATAATACCTAGAAGCCTTTCATAGGATAGCTCAGGCCAAAGACCATTCTCTTCATGGGTGAGACCACACAGTTTAGGGTGGTAAGGGTTCCTGCCTGTGCAGCATGACCTGGACTGCCTTGTTTTCTCTCAGCCTGGTAACCAGAAGCTCCCAGTGCATGTCTGGGCAGTGCACTGACTCACAGCCACACTGCTGAGGCAGAAGGTCAGATTGGAAGCTGCAAGGCTAAAACAGTAAGGTTCAAACACACTAGAAGGTGAGCCAGGCAGGAGATATTTGCAATAAAAAAGAGCAAATGGACTTGATTATAATCATAGATGTTTCTGAATAATTTGGCCACTCCAGCACCAGCTCAATACTGGATTGGAGTACTTATGATGACCATGGGATGGAAATGGAATTGCATGAGTGAACAAACCTTGTTCCAGGCACAATGGTACAACCTCTTTCTATGGACAACTCCCGGAAACTAGAAAGAGAGCTAGGAAAAGTCCTTAGCTCCTGAAAATGTTTTTAACTCTTGATCTGATCTTCTGATCCTGATCTCTGATATTATAAAATCACTGAGTGGTTTGGGTTGGAAAGGACCTTAAAAATCATCTAGTTCCAACTCCCCTTCCATGAGCAAGAACACTTTCCACTAGACCAGGAGCTCAGAGCCCTTTCCAGCCTGGCCCTGAACACCTCCAGGGATAGGGTGTCCACAATGTCTCAGGACAAACCAGCCCAGTGTCTCACCACTCTTATAGTAAATAATTTCTTCCTAATATCGAATCCAAACCTACCTTCCTTCATTTTAAGGCCATTTGTCCTTGTCCTATTACTACATGACCGTCCTAGACCCTGCAAGTCCCTCCCCAGTTTCCTAGTAAGCCCCTAGTAAGTTAGGTATGGAAGGAGATACTTCTATGACAAATTGACCCTTGGAAGAGGGTCTACCTGCACTTTATTAAAGCCTTTGAAGCTGTCTCCCAAAGCATTCTTCTGGAGAAACTAACTGATCACGACTTGGAGAGGTGCACAGCTCCTTTGGTGAAAAATAATGTGGCCAGCAAGACCAGGGCAATTATTGTCCCTTGGTACTCAGCACTGATGAGGCCACACCTCAAACCCTGTGTTCAGTTCTGTCCCCTCTCTACAAGAAAGACATTGGGGTGCTGGAGTGTGTCCAGAGAAGGGCAATGGAGCTGGTGAAGGGTCTGGAGCACAAATCTTGTGAGGAGCAGCAGAGGGAGCTGGGGGTGTTCGTCCTGGAGGGAAGGAGCCTCAGGGGTGACCTTATTGCAGCGCCTGCCCTTATCCCTACAACTACCTGAAAGGAGGCTGTAGACAGGTGGAGGTTGAATTTTGCTCACATGTAATACATGACAGGATGAGAGAAAATGACCTCAAGTTGCACCAGTGGAGATTTACATCAGATATTAACAAAAATTTCTCCACTGAAATAGTGATCAAGTGTTGGAACAGGGAAGTGTTGGAATCACATCCCTGGGGATATTTAATAGACATGTAAATGTGGCACTTAGGGACAGTGTTTAGTGGTGGAGTTAGTGCTGGGTTAATGGCTGGGACTCAATGTTATTAGAGGTCCTTTCTGACCTAAACAATTCTCTGATAATTCTGCTCTGGGTCCCAGAGCTAAAAGCAATGTTCTATTTTCTCCCCATTCTGCCCATAGCAGAATTTTAAGTTAAGGGCCCCTATTTGTTACCACATGTAAGTCTAAAAAGAGTCCATAATAAACAATGTAAGTTTTTCATGCTAGTAGAGAGTCTGCACACAGTAAAAGAGAGAGAGAAGAAAAGAAGAGAGAAAAAATAAGCAAATAGGACCTTGATTCCACTCACTGCAAAACTTAACAAGAAAAATTGTCCTCACTTCACTTATATGAGAAAACAAAGTGCTCTGACACACAAAATCACCCTCTCACAATCTTTCTATTTTCCTGATGCTGTTAGAGACTTCTGTCTGTAGTCAGTCATCCTTGCTGTAAATTTCTATAAATTGGTATTGGGCACTCTTCCAGATTCTGAGGGACCCCTTTGCCAGAGGAACTCAGGGGGACATAGAATAGCCCTTATTTTTTGAAATTGAGGACTGATAAATTAATAAAGAACTGACAACCAATATGACACTTTGTTTGTAGCAGAAATCTTGTTTTATCAGCAGCTCTTTTTAAGGAATCGCATTATGAAATAAGTATAGTTGTACCTTTATATTCCTGTATTTTATTTTCTGTCAAAAAAGACTCCACATTTAAGAAGGTCATGGTCTGTGTTTGTGTGTGGGACACTGGGAATTTGAACCTTAGCCTCTACCCATCTTCTTAAGGATCACAAACATAATTTGAACCAATTTCCCCAAATCAGATTAATTTTTCACTCTCTCTGCCTATGTGTCTCTCAGTCACATGCAGAAGCCCCATGCACACCAGGCTGAAAGGATGGGTCAAGGCCTGTTTTATTGACAAGCAGAGCTGGCCTCGGTCACTCTTGTCCTGCTGGCAGCCAGCGTTGCCTGCAGCACATCAGCCAGCCTGGCAGCCTCCAGCAGCCCTTTGGCTGTGAGCAGGTGTGGAGAGGAGAAGTGGCAGGGCTGAGATTAAGGAATGGGACCTACCTGCTTTGGGGAGCAGCCGAGCTGCCTGGTAGTACTTCCAGATATCCTTTGGATAGCAGAAGAGTTTGTGTCTAAAGTGTGTTTTGTTTTGTAGCCCACCTCCTAAGTTCAGCCCCCTCCTCCCCATGTCAGGGACTTGATGTGCGTGTCAGGGGAAGCAGTGTTAGCCCAAAGTAGTCATAGCCAAATTCAGCCCCCTGCTTCAGTGGGCTGACCAGGGCAGGACAGTGAGGTATGCACCCATGGACAGGGCTAGCCTTCACCCACTGTGCCTCATGCCCTCACATGGCTGGAAAACTGCTGGCTTTGATCTTTTCCTCTGCTCTTGGTGGGGTATCACGGTCACTGGGCAATGTCTGATCTCTGTGGTATCATAACCTTCTCTCCTGGGCTAAGTTTTGGCCTCTGGGTTGACAAATCATGTCTGGTTTTGAAGTCTTTTATTACAGCAAAGTTGCATCAGCTCACCTCTGCTGGCTTCTTGCACTATGCTAGGGAAAAGTTCAGCAAAAGCTGGCACTATCTTTCCGGCCTAGGTTTGAACCTTATTTTAAATACAAATATCTCTCCTTTTCAGCGTAGTCAGGAAAGATAGGGTCATCTTTATACCTGATATCTCAAACAAAGCAGTGGGTAAATATCAAAGATGTTAAGGCAAGGCAAACATACCCCTTTTATGTTTGTGGGCAGCACTAATGACATAGGGTGAAATTTATCCTCTTATCAAAGGTCAACACAAACCTAGGCACTACTTCAAAGGTGCATTGATCTTATAACTGGCTCCTGACACCGAGCTAGATTTCACCAAACTCTAA